ACAAAGCAGGCCATGTGGCACATATAACTCTGATTTCCAACCGAGAATAATAGCGAGGGCTTAGGGAGTCAGTTGTATCATAGTGCCTAAAGATAGAGATGGTCCTAAGGGACAGAGTAGTCCAGGCAAAATGCTTAAGACCAAAAGTGCCCCGAATTTCTGATTCTCTCTTCCAATATACATAATGAGATATCTTGGAAATGGGACCCAAGTCTAAACATGAAATTCATTAATGTTCCATATATACTTTATCTACATAGACTGGAGGTAATTTTACACAATATTTCTAATAATGTTGTGCATTAAACCAAGTTTGTGTACATTGGACCACCAGAAAGCCAAGGTATCTCAGCCACCCATGGAGACAAATTTGCTCAACAAGTTTGAACATTTGCTACAAGTGGCAAAACTTTCTTCATTAAATCAAAGAAGCTATAGCTCAACATTAGAATAGCTTCATCTTATGTGGAAGGTCCCAAATTAATTACCAATTTCTCCATTTAGGTTTGATAAATATTTCCATCTGAAACCCTAGAGAGTTGCTACCAGTCTTCATATATAGTGCTGAAGCAGATGTGTGTACCACTTGACTGCTTCAGCATAAATCAGCTTTCCATATATTCCCCAACTAGCTTTCCTGAATGATTTTTGTGTGTGTGTCAGGAGCAAATTGAGAAACTGCAAGTCGCTTCTGATGTGAGAGAATTGGCCAACTGCAAGGATGTTGCCCAGGGGATGCCCAGATGTTTGATGTTTTACCATCCTGTGGGAGGCTTCTCTTGTGTCCCCAAATGGGAAGCTAGAGCTGACAGATGGGAGCTCATCCCGCCCCCTGGATTCGAACCTCCAACCTGTCAGTCAGCAGTCCTGCCAGCACAAGGGTTTAGCCCAGTGGTTCTTAACCTTCCTACTGCTGCAACCCCTTAATACAGTTCCTCATGTTGTGGTGACCCCCAACCATAATTTTTTTTGCTAATTCATAACTGTAATTTTGCTACTGTTATGAATTGTAATGTAAATATCTGATATGCAGGATGTATTTTCATTCACTGACCAAATTTGGCACAAATACCCAATACTCTCAAATTTGATTAATGATGGGGTTGGGGGGGGGGGAGGGAATTGATGGAAGTTGTAGTTGCTGGAATGTATAGTTAAGCTACAATCAAAGAGCATTCTGAACTCCACCAATGATGGAACTGAACCAAACTTGGCACATGGAACTCCCAAGACCGACAGAAAATACTAGAAGGGTTGGGTGAGCATTGGCCTTGAGTTTTGGGAGTTGTAGTTCACCTATATCCAGAGAGCACTGTGGATTCAAACAATGATTGATCTGGACCAAACTTGGCATGGATGCTCAATATGCCCAAATGTGAACACTGGTGGAGTTTGGGGGAAATAAACATTGACATTTGGGAATTGTAATTGCTGGGATTTATAGTTTACCTACAATCAAAGAGCGATCTGAACCTCACCAATGATAGAACTGGGCCATACTTCCCACACAGAACCCCTATTACCAGCAGAAAATATTGTGTTTTCTGATGGTCTTTGGTGACCCCTCTGACACCCCCTCACGACCCCCCCCCCAGGGGTCCCAACCCCCAGACTGAGAAATGCTGGTAGCCCATTGTACCACCAGGGGCTTTCCTGAATGAATGACACTCTATTCTTTTCAAACATTCAGATTATGGTATCTTTGTCAGATTTAAGCCTGATCTGATGTAGAGCTATTATCACACAGAAACCTAATGGAATATGCATTTAAGGAGAACATTTAACATTTTTATTAGCTTTAAATCCTAATTCTCCATGATAGACTGATATTCAGAATATTTTGGTTCATTGATTCTTCAACTACCCTCTCTCTCGCCACTTCTCATGTATTTCTGCAACTCAATGCATGCTTCTTTCTTCCTAAATGCTCGGCCAAAAATGGCTGTTTTTCCAAGGAACTTAATTTTCTGGCCTTGTTTAATTTATTGCCCTTCAAGACTTCTCCTTTCACTTTTTGCCCTTTCTTGGTTTTCCCTTTTCTGAAAACCTCCTCAGAAAATCAAATGCCCAGAATGGTAGTGAAAGGTTGATGGATTTCACAGTATAGAAGAAATAAACAAATGTCAAACAGTTGGAGGCACATGGTTTTCTTTTATTTAAATGCAAAGTGTATGTTGTATTTGATTCATTTAAAAATATTTTATATTGCTTTTCATTTTTAAAATGCCTGGTGAAGGCAGCCCTGCAATCCATCTGGAAAACTATGCCATTTACATTCATTCAGCTCTTGACTTCTCTAATGCAAAAGCCATAGTCATCTTCAACGGGCCAACGAATCCATAAAGCTGTCAAAGCAGTATTTCCAAAGCTCAGCAATGACAGCTCTTTGATAGAACCTTCGGAATGTAAATTCTGAAGGCTGGAACATTTACAATTCGATTATATTTGATTCCCCTTAGGAAAATAATGCTCTCAACTATCCTTGACAGTTACATCATAAAGCAGCTTGATCACAAAGGATATGTTCCTTAAATTATTGGCATAGATTTGCTAAATTCACTTGAACTGGTAGCCCTTACCCTTTGTTCTTGTAATTCATCTTCAAGGCCCCTTCTACACGGCCATATAACTTTCTCAATTCAATCCTTTTGGCAAGCTTTAGTCATAAGAGGTTTACATTGTTTTCCACCAAGGCTCAGGCACTTTCAACACTGCCATATAAAATCCAGATTATCAATTAAACTAGATTATATGGCAGTGTAGACTCATATAATACAATTCAAGGTAGATAATGTGGATTGTCAGCTTTCATAATCTGGATTATATGGCAGTGTAGAAGGGGGCTCAGTGAGTGGAACTTTCCAGGATCATTCAGTAGGCTTTTATGATTAAGTTGGGATTCAACCCATACCTTCTCAGACCCCTTCTACACTGCCATATAAAATCCAGATTATCTGCTTTGAACTGGATTATATGGTAGTGTGGACTCATATAATTTATTTATTTATTTATTTGGTGCATTTATTAACCGCCATTCTCAGCCCTCACGGGCGACTCATGGCGGTGTACAGTATAAAAGGCAATTTACAAAAAGACAAAAAGACAAAGTAGATAATGTGGATTATCTGATTTGATAATCTGGATTATATGGCAGTGTAGAAGGGGGCTCAGAGAGTGAGACTTCCCAGGATCATTCAGTAGGCTTTTATGATTAAGTTGGGATTCAACCCATACCCTTCTACACTGCCATATAAAATCCAGATTATCTGCTTTGAACTGGATTATATTGTAGTGTAGACTCATATAATCCAGTTCAAAGTAGATAATGTGAATTATCTGCTTTGATAATCTGGATTCTATGGCAGTGTAGAATCCAGCATCCTAGTCCAGCACTGAAACCACTACACCATTCTATATAAATAAAATTATGTAGTGATATGCTCGGTCCAAAGCCTGGAGAGTTACTTTTTAAAATCAGTTAACAGTCAGGGGTAGTTACATTGGCCACGTGGCAAAATACAGCAACATCAAAAATTCCTAAAACAATGATATTATTGGGCCAAGTGAAATGCAAAATAATATATCATCCATATATCATTCACTAGTTCATTCATCTTAAAAACCATACAGGAAAAGTGACAATGCTGGAGTTATAGGCCCATATTTTGTCTCAGGCATTACTCCCATTGTCAGTTAAGATGATCTGGGCAGATCTCAAAGGCCATGTGGGGAAGAAAAACACAGGCAATAAAATTTCAAATTCATGAATTAGCAGCCAAGTAACTTGAGATCATTAAGATGTAGGTGCTTTCTCAATGGCAATTCTTTTGCTGCTGCTAATGCATTTGAAATTTTGCTGTCTGTGTTTCACTATATTGCCCTTTGTTCCCTGTATCATTCTTCTGTGGATTTTGGATTTTGTTGTATTTAAAAACTTGGTTATAGTCAAGAGGCACTCTAAAATAATTAATTTCTTTAGAAACTTTAGTTGAAAAATCAATCCCTCAAAAAAACGGGTCAACTTATCCACAAGTCAGTGGTACTACTGTACCTTAACTTATAAAAAAGGAAGCCATATTCTTCACTGAGTACAATGGTGAAAGGTGAGAGTATAACCCATCCCAGGAGAATCTAAAGGAGGCTCTTACTCCCTTTACTCTCTTCTCTGTGGCATAATTTCTAGCTTTTTTGCATTTCTGGGCAGAAGACTCTTCTTGGCTTCAGCCAGAGATCTTGATGCTTTCCCCTTTCTGAGGAATGAACCTCGATTTATCCATGGATCATATTAAAATGGACTTTTTTGGTCCCAAAGTCTACTCTTAACTTATACATTAGGTAGACTTAAACATGAGTATATACAATACTGGATAGGGTTGTGCATTTCAGCTAAATCCCCGTATCCGTTTTCCTGAAAACGAGCAGGTAGCCAGATAGCCGTTTTCCACTTTAGAAATACCAACTTGAAAAAGCTGTTAGCCTACAGCATACAAGTTTCCTTCTACCTACCTTATCACTATCTCAAAACACAACACAAAGCAGAAATATGAGCCAACACTTGAATGATAAGATTTTCCTCTTCCTTCTCCAGTTGCTATCAGAGTTACCAAAAGCAACTAAAGCATTACAGTTATGCAACAAAAGGATGTGAAGTCATCTCTCTGCAATGTACTTTATATGTAACTTACTCATTACCTTGTTAGAAAAAAGGAATGAATTGTAAGTGCAGCATTTTTGTAGGAACTCCTTTCCAAACCCTGCCATACATACACATACACAACCTGGGGAGAGGGGAGCCAAGAAATGAAGCCCCACAGGGCCATTAAATGTTCGCGGTACAGTCTGTGACATGAATCGAAAGCCCAGGGACTAGTACAGAGGACATTATCCTCCAGGAAAAAAAGGCTTGATTTTTTGTACCTGCACATGGAGACCCATAAAGTTTTTTTTACCAAAGCACAAGGTGCAATAAACCATTGAAAGAGTCATAAGAACCAACTTACCACGGAGTCCAGAAACCTAATACAGCAGTCGAGCTCCAGGCGAGTCTCACAGAATTGCCGAAAGAGAAGTCTTCCTATTGGCTGCTTGTCACATAAACTGTAGTAATCTCTCTCTGGAGGAAATAAAGAGGAAGAAGAAGGAAGGTGAACAAATGAGGCACTTTTTAATGGGCTTTGGTCTGGTTAGGGTTTGAGCATGTGTAGGATATTAAAACTTCAAAACTTCTTTACAAACAAGACACAACCTAAAAAAGATACTCAATCTACTTGCAGAAATGCAGGCTGCAGCCAAGGTTATGTGTGTTTTGCAATTGTGCTTTGGACATAGATTAATTGGTTTTGGAAGTATAAAGCATCCTGAAATTCTGAGTTTCCTCCCCTCTTCCACCCACGATTGGAAAAAAAAATTTAAAAGAATGCATGTTACTGGCTCGTATATTTGCAAAGTTAGTCTTGGAAGTAAGTGGCCAATATCTGTTGAAATCCCAGAAGCAAAATTCATCTGGGAAGGGGGCTGGCCACAGTTTCCAGTGGTTCTGAATGCTCCCTTTGTTGTATTTGCCCTTTCCAATACAGAAGAAGTTGGGAGACATCCTTTTTTGGACTATAGCTCTGAGAATCCCAGTGCAAAAAAAATGTGGGTCTGGGAATGTGGGGAGTTGTACCCAAAAGGGACCTTTCCAACAACAACAAGCAAAATACATCCCGCATCCAGTTGCTCTCATGGATCTCTTCCTAAGAAGAACCAACATTAGGACTCAAGCCAATGACTTGGGCACAAAAGTGCACTGCTAGACTGCTACACCATGGAGAACATATTCATGTAATTCCTGCTGTCTGGATACAGGCATTGCTGACTACATTGCTGACTACATGTACCCAGTTCCTAGAGTGTGCAGTATTTTGCATTTCACGCACTATGCGTGACATGCAGAGATACTCAAGTAGTTGTAAGTGCTACAATGCTCATTTCATGAGAATCTCTTCAGTAGGCACCACACAGAAGGAAAGTCTCCTTTTGCTGGTAGTGACTGCTCTTGATTCCTCTAATCTAAAAACTAGGGAGCAGGCCCGTAGCCAGGATTTTGTTTCGGGGGGGGGGGGGCTGAGTCTGAGTGAAAGAGGGTCTGCCCTAGCAAACCTTTTGTATTGTTACCCCAATACCCCATGCATATGGGATATATTGAGCATGGTGATCAGATCATGATATGAATAAACATAATAGTTTAAATAATGTACCAGTAAGGCCTTCACACGGACCACCATGAGAATTTCGGGGGGGGGGGGGGCTGAAGCCCCCCGAGGCCCCCCCCCCCCAGCTACATGCCTGCTAGGGAGCTATATTATGTCTATCTTCCAATAATAAGACACTTCTTGAAATTGTGCATCATGGTCAAAATGACTAACAATAATCGCCAAAGCGTTTCGTAGAAACAAGCCAGCTACCAGTTCAGCAAAGGAATATGCTGCCTCTGTGTATGGTGGGGTGGAGTCTCCTTTTTTGTAGGGTTTTAAGCAAAGGCTGGAAGGCAATCTCTCAGGAGAGCTTTGTTTATGTATCCAAGCATGGCAGGGGTTTGGACTAGGAGGCCCTTGTAGTCTCTTCTACCTTTTTGGTTCTATGATCCTAACTGGTATGGGAGGAATACAGTGGGCTCCTAGTGACCATTGAGGTTTGTTCCAGGACCCCTAGAGATACCAAAATCTCTGGATGCTCAAATCCCATTATAATCAGTAGCATAATAAAATGGTGTTCTTTCTGGAATACTGTCCACTTCCCCCCTCCCCAAATATTTTCACGCTACAGATGATTTAATATGTAGATACAGAATCTGTGGATACAAGGGGGCCACTGTATAAAATAATGCTTCAATTAACTTGGCACAAATGCATAACCAGCTGGTACGTGAGGCTGTTCCTGATGTAAAATTAAGAGTAAAAACCCTGTTCGCTAAACACTAAACAACAGACTGTGTTTCTTCCGAATGTTCTCATCCTTAGTTTTCTCGGAAACATATGACATTTTTGTTGTTGCCACAACAACCCACTCCTTACCTTAACACAAGATGTTGTATGGCAAGAAGACAAATTCCTCTGCTCTACCTGTTACAGCCAGCTATAATAGCTGGTATATGGAGGAAAAAAAATACTCTCAGGCCTTGTCAGACTGGAGGTTCTGGGTTTTAGCTTCCTATGGTGGTGGTCATGTTTTTGTTTTGTTTTTTGTGGGGGGCAGGTGTGGATATTTTAAAATGTGGATAATATGATAATACTTCCACTTTTAGTGTGCAGACCAAAAAGCATTTAAAAACCATCAGTTTCCTTTATCCCTTATGAGATAAGGGACAATGTAACCAACATAACTGGCTGTGTTACTTCTTGCATTGCTAATTACTGGGGAAGAGAAGGTTTGAAGTTTATGAGATCTTACATTTTCCTATCAAAATGTCCTTAAATGTGCCTTAACTCTATGTCTTTCCAGTCCCATGGCCTCAGCCGACCCTTGTGATTCAGAGAACCCTTTAAAGCCCTTTAAAGCTCTTTATTTTCCGCATTTTCTTCCATTTTTTATTAGAACCATATGTGGCTTTCCAGACTTGGAATTACAGCTCCCATCATCCATCTGGCTAGCCACACCCTTTCCTGAAGTTTAGGAGGATTAGAAAAAGATTAGAAAAAAAATCCAAGAAAGCTGCAGAAAACTACTGCAAGTGACTCACATTTTATCCAGTGATTGCTAGCTAGGACCACAAATTTTGGAGACAAGCCTTGGGTAAGTTACATCCTCTCAGGCCCCTTCTACACTGCTATATAATCCAGATTATCAAAGTAACACCTGGGCAGGGCCATAGCATCACCTCTTCAGATCCATTGCCTTACAACTCTTGGGTGGGCGCCTCTGCAGCTTCGGTGCCCGCGGCCTGGCCATAGCAACACCTGCATGGAGCGCCTCTATGGCCCGCTGCCTTGCCATTCGGTTACTCTATCATGCCTGCCTGAAGTGGGGGGGGGGGGGACGTCCCTACCACCTGGATGATTGCTGCCCTGCTGGTGGTGCTTTGAGTTCTGGCAGGTAACCTCATTCTTGGGGTTGCCCCTCCTCATCTGCTGCCTGCTTTGGCTGTTTTTCCTCTAACAGCCCACTTCAGCTGGAATTGAATGTATGCTTTTAAGCTGTTATATTGTTCTTACATCTTATTGTACTTATATTTTAACTGTACTGTTTCATTGTAGTTATATTTAAACTGTTTAAACTGATATGTTGCATTTATTGTTGTATATGTAACGCAACTTTGAATTTACCATGATCTCTAAATCATCCTGAGTCCCCCCTAGGAGTGAGAAGGACAGCGTATAAATATAGTATAATAATAATCCACATTATCTGCTTTGAGCCCCTGGTGGCTCAGTGGGTTAAAGTGCTGAGCTGCTGAACTCGCTGACCAAAAGGTCACAGGTTCAAATCTGGGGAGTGGGGTGAGCTCCCACTGTTAGCCCCAGTTTCTGCCAACCTAGCAGTTCGAAAACATGTGAGTAGATGGATAGGTACCGCTCTGTTGGGAAGGTAACGGCGCTCCATGAAGTCATGCCGGCCACATGACCTTGCAGGTGTCTATGGAAAACACCAGCTCTTTGGCTTAGAAATGGAGATGAACACCAAGCCCCTCGAGTCGGACATGACTGGACTTAATGTCAGGGGAAAATCTTTCCCTTTACCTATCTGCTTTTAACTGGATTATATGAGTCTACACTGCCAGATAATCTGGATTTTATATGGCAGTGTTGAAGGGGCCTTAGTCTTTCAGGAAGTCAATGGAAACCCTACTCTGAATATATCTTGCCATGAAACCCTCATGATAGGTTTTCTTATGGTTACCATAAGTTGGAAAAGATTTGAAGGAATACAACATGATGTAACTATGTTGCTTATGCAGAACCGATTTAAACTGGCATCAATTTCCCATTTGGATTTCATAACAATGCAGAAACCACATCCCCAGTTTTATTTTTCAAGGATTAATATCAAATATAGTGTATGTTTTTGTGCATTAAAAAATCTATTTGTATCCTGTCTTTCATAAAATGACCATACTAACCAAGTAACTTGGAAAAGTTATTGAGAGTATAAGGCTTAAAATGAACTTTCCCAGTTGCTGGGTATCCCCATAGTTTCTGGGAATCATTATGGGTTGCATCACATTTGAAAAAAAAGACTAAAAACAAAGCTAGAAATATATTACAAGGGCTTCTGTATCTCTGCCTGTTAGAAAGGACTCTCTGGATTATGGCTATCATGTTGTGGCCAAAAGAAGAGAGTGTTCATCATTTTTTATTATTAAGGAGAAGTGTCATGCCAAAAAAATAAACCCAGATAAATGCAAAAGCATGTACAACAGCTCTAAGTCATCCAACTCTTGGCAACTTTAAACTATGAGAACAGGATGAACTTGTTGGTAAAATAATAAGCAAATTTCTCTTCTCATTGAAAGTGGTTCAAAATAGTTTTTAATCCCGAAGAAATGGAAAGCATAGTCCTACAGCATCTTACCAATTAGTTTAGTTTATATTATATTAATAGAAACCCCAAAGAGTTCTTTCCAGTGGCAGATGCTTGGACTTTGCTTTACAAAAATTATTTGCAGTTCCCAAGTAACATAAAGAAATAATTTGCTGTCTTTGTAGTTGTGATCTTTATTTTCACTTTTCTCAAAAGAAAAAATATTATTGTCCATTAAAGTAAAGGTTTCCCCTTGACATTAAGTCTAGTTGTGTCCGACTCTGGAGGATGGTGCTCATCTCCATTTTCAAGCTGAAGAGCCAGTGTTGTCCGTAGACACCTCCAAGGTCATGTGGCTGGCATGACTGCAAGGAGCGCTGTTACCTTCCCGCCAAAGTGATACCTATTGATCTACTTACATTTATATATGTTTGAACTGCTAGGCTGGCAGAAGCTGGGCCTAACAGCAGGAGCTCACGCCGCTCCTGGATTCAAACTGCCGACTTTTCAGTCAGCAAGTTAAGCACCTTAGCGGTTTAACCCGCTGCACCACCGGGGGCTCCAAAATATATAATAAAATAAAAATAAATATCTGGTAAAGATAAAGGTTTCTCC